AGAAGGTAGATGCAAAATTTATTACTAAACAGGAACAAAAAGAAAAAACACAAATAAAATTGGGTTGCCTCCCAACTAGCGCTATCGTTTAACGCCCCTAACTAGGCATAAAAGCGAAGATAGATCTAAGTAGTGCCGTCTTTGGCACTCAATTCATAAGTAGCTCGCATGATAGATTCATAAGGTAATTTGAATTTCTTTCTTGAAAAGTGCTCCATGCATTTCTTTAATGGAAATTGTAATCTAATATTCCCTTCCTTCATATCAATAATCGCACCAATCGTTCTAAGGGAAGGTCTACCAAGAATAATAGGGCAACAAAGATTGCAATCTATATCAAGAACGATAAAATCTACGGGCACCAAATTTCTATTTGCAACAATGAGAACATCATTGATTCTTCCCATTGGCTTTTTAACGGTGGAATCCGCAAGGTGCAAATTTAAAGAGCAATCATCAAGATCATGGAAACCTAGAATATCACATAAAGTTTTCGGAATCGTGGAAACACTAGCACCCAAATCACACAAAGCAAAACACTCATGATCTTAATTCTAATCTTTATAGTAGGTTCCCATTCATCATTAAGCTTTCTAGGTATAGAAACTTCCAAATTAAGTTTTTCATCATAAGATTGCATCAAGGCATCAACGATATGTTTGGTAAAAGCTTTATTTTGACTATAAGCATGAGGAGAATTAACAACGGATTGAAACAAGGAAATACAACCTTCTAAAGAGCAATTATCATAATCAAATTCCTTGAAATCCGAGATAGTGGGTTCAATGCTATTTAAAGTCATGACCTCTCCAATCCCACTTTTACCAAATTTAGCATCAAGATCTAAAAACTCCGAATTCTTGGAACGCCTTCTAACTAAAGTTGACTCATCTCCAGTCTCATTATTATCAAGATTCATATTGCAAAACAACGATCTAATAGGAGACACATCAATAACTTTAAGATCTTCATCATTATTTTCATTTAACTTTTCTGGTTTGGCAGCCATCTTATTGACTAAGGTAGCTTGCTTATCAGAAATTTTGGCTATAGCATTTTCAAGCCGGGTAATTTGCGAGTTCACACCATAAAATTCCTTAGACATATCATCAAGCTCTTTGTTCATAAACCCCAAAAAACCTTTTTGTTCCTTAAGCTCTTTTCTGAAGAAATTATTATGCTCAAATTGCAAATTCATAAAGCTTCTAATATTTGATTCAATCTCTTCCAACCTTCTAAGAAGGTGGTCGGTACTCTTAGGCAAAGCCATAATGGACAAACAGGCACACAAGCAACAGAAAAAAGGCAAGTGAAAGAGAGAGGGAGATTGGGAAAGAGAGGGCGAATAAAACGGCAAGGATGAAGTGGGGCAGAGGAAAACGAGAGGCAAATGGCAAATAATGTAAATGCGAGGGAGATGAGTTTGTGATGGGTACTTGGTATGTCTTGACTTGAGCGAAGACCTCCCCGGCAACGGCGCCAGAAATCGCACGTTGGTGGGAGGTCGAATCTTGACTTGACTTGGTGGAAGCCTCCCCGGCAATGGCGCCATAAATCCTTCTTGCTACGTCTTGAGCTTGCGTTGGTTTTCCTTGAAGAGGAAAGGGTGATGCAGCAATAGTAGCGTAAGTATTTCCCTCAGTTTTTGAGAACCAAGGTATCAATCCAGTAGGAGGCTCCTCAAAAGTCCCACGCACCTACACAAACAAACAAAGAACTAGCAACCAACGCAATAAAGGGGTTGTCAATCCCTTCACGGCCACTTGCGAAAGTGAGATCTGATAAAGATAGTATGATAAGATAAATATATTTTTGGTATTTTATAATATATATGCAAAAATTAAAGATGCAAATAAAAGTAGATTGAAAGTTTATATGATAAAAGATAGACCCGGGGGCCATAGGTTTCACTAGTGGCTTCTCTCAAGATAGCATAAGTATTACGGTGGGTGAACAAATTACTGTTGAGCAATTGATAGAAAAGCGAATAATTATGAGATTATCTAGACATGATCATGTATATAGGCATCACGTCCGCAACAAGTAGACCGACTCCTGCCTGCATCTACTACTATTACTCCACACATCGACCGACTCCTGCCTGCATCTAGAGTATTAAGTTCATAAAGAACAGAGTAACGCATTAAGAAAGATGACATGCTGTAGAGGGATAAACTCAAGCAATATGATATAAACCCCATATTTTTATCCTCGATGGCAACAATACAATACGTGCCTTGCAACCCTTTCTGTCACTGGGTAAGGACACCGCAAGATTGAACCCAAAGCTAAGCACTTCTCCCATGGCAAGAAAGATCAATCTAGTAGGCCAAACCAAACTGATAATTCGAAGAGACTTGCAAAGATAACTCAATGATACATAAAAGAATTCAGAGGAGATTCAAATATTTCTCATAGATAAAGTTGATCATAAACCCACAATTCATCGGATCTCGACAAACACACCGCAAAAGGAGTTTACATCGAATAGATCTCCACAAGAGAGGGGGAGAACATTGTATTGAGATCCAAAAAGAGAGAAGAAGCCATGTAGCTAATAACTATGGACCCGAAGGCCTGTGGTAAACTACTCACAACTCATCGGAGGGGCTATGTTGTTGATGTAGAAGCCCTCCATGGTCGATTCCCCCTCCGGCGGAGCGCCGGCAAAGGCTCCAAGATGGGATCTCGCGGATACAGAAGGTTACGATGGTGGAAATTGTGTTTCGTTGGCTCCCTAGATGTTTTCGGGGTACGTAGGCATATATTGGAGGAAGAAGTACATCGGTGGCCACCCGAGGGGCCCACAAGACAGGGGGCGTGCCCAGAGGGGGTGGGCACGCCCTCCTATCTCGTGGCCGCCTCGGCTGCTTCTTGAATTGCACTCCAAGTCGTCTGGATCACGTTCGTTCCAAAAATCACGCTCCCGAAGGTTTCATTCCGTTTGGACTCCATTTGATATTCCTTTTCTTCGAAATACTGAAATAGGCAAAAAACAGCAATACGGGCTGGGCCTCCGGTTAGTAGGTTAGTCCCAAAAATGATATAAATGTGTAAAATAAAGTCCATAAACATCCAAAAGGGGTAATATAATAGCATGGAACAATCAAAAATTATAGATACATTGGAGACGTATCACTAACCAAGCGTCCCTTGTAATTGAGATCATCATCAATACAACGAAAGCAGGACGTAGGCTTTTACCTCTATCAAGAGGGGTCGAACCTGGGTAAACCTTCTGTCTCTCGTGTCCACTTAACCCCTAAGATCTACCACCCGATTTGATGGCCTCGCGACTAAGTCCTTTGAGGACATCTGCCGTGAAAATACTACGACAAATGTCGAGCTCCAGTAGCCACTCCGGCTCCGACCTCGACTCCGACGGGGAGCTGGCTCTCCGCATTGCCTTGGAGCGATCCATGGTGGGCACCGGGGGCACCTTCAGATCTGCAGGAACGCTGCAGCTCCCGCGTCGTTGCAGTGCGGACGCCGGAGTTGGACCCTCCCGGCCCACGCTTAGCTCCGGTAGGACAGCGCAGTCGGCACCGTTCCCGTGCCGTCCCCTTCCCCCGCCTGCCGCTCCTCCGCGCAGGCGGTGGTGGGTGCTAGTGCCTGTGCCGCCGACCCGCACACGCACTCTGAATCGGAGGCGTGCGCTGCCCGCCGCGAGAGGCAGCGGGTCAGGGAGAGGGATGTGGCGGAGCGGTCCGTGCACCGTCGCCGCGGGATGCCAATGGAGCCCGACGAGGATGAGCGGCTCCTCTCATGGGTCTACCGCCGGTCGCTCATGACGGTGGAGACGGACGCTCGCCGTCTCCGGTGGAAGAAAGCAAAGGCACTCTAGCTAGCCATAGAGCACGGAGCAGAAGGCGAAGGAGGCAACAGCAGAGACGGCTCAGCTCGGGAAGCTGAAGCGGCAACAGGACAAGGCCGTCCGCAGTTTGAAGGGGTTAATCGTCCTGTCCTCCTCCAACTCCGATGACGGCAGTGACGACAACTCCACCTCCTCCGACGATGGCCAAGATCCCCCACCAGCCGCGGAGGCCTACAGCTGCGCCGACGACCGGATGGGCAAAGGCCCGGCGCGGAAGTGGTGTTCCTGCTCCTCCTCTTATGTTTATATCGTTTTTAGTTGTTGATGTTTAAGAACTTACCCGGTGATGGACTCGGATGATCTTTTTGATGATGTCAAGCTCGTTTAATGTCCGTTCGCAACCGATTTTGTTCTCTGTTTGCAGCCGATTTTGTTGCCCGTTGTTTGATCACATGGAGTAGCTCACATTGCATGCATAGTGTGGATATAGGGTGCCGGATATGAGATACGCGGATGTAAAGAGAGAAATATGAGGCATCCCGGTCGGTGCCCGCGGACGCACTCGACGTGTGTGTGGGCGTTTGAGGGGCCAAATTAGGCCATCACAGCTGTAGATGCTCTCATATTGCTATGCATTTGAAATAAAATTGTCCGAACCGGGACGGGTGTTTAGGGGATGCAGTTGAATAGCCGGCTACCACATCCATATTCGTGGCGGACAAATTGTGGGCCTGTTTTGAGAGTCTTGCGTTGGAGATGGAAGGAAAGAAAAGGAAGCATGGCAAGTACAGAGCGTGTCGTATTTCAGGTAGTGGCAACAAGGTTCTCCAACGAAGAATATGCTTCCTGATTGAATCCAACGAATATGTGTGCTCATTCTCTTTCATATCTCGACTTGTCAGATGAGCCATACACGAGATCCAGAAACAAAACTGCCAATTTTCCATGTATATATACTTCTATCACAGATTCACAGGTGCTATAAAATTAAAATCAACTACAAGAGAGAAAAATATACGGGCACAGGTGCAACTTGCAAGATATGGCAGGAAGCTATTTAGTACTGTACCAAACACGAGAAGTTACAGTTGGCATTAGCGTTTCCTCCTCCTCCACCCACGAGTGCAACGGCCGTGTGCAAACTCCAGTGTCCCCCTCGGCTCCTCCCCATTAGCTTAGCTGTTCATCATCCTTCAAATAACCCGTCTATGTCTATCACACGGCTTCCGTCGTACGGTGGAGCGATCAATTCCAAAATCTCCTTCCGCAGTTTGTACCTGAGCTCGGCTGCAACCTTCCACGTCATCTGGCGATTACAGGTGACTAGAAATTCGGCGGTAAACTCATCCGAGCTTAAACACTTGAGAGGAGCCCAACACTCGTCCAAGTAGCACTTCTTGTATCGCTTGATCATTGAAGTGAGCAGGGGTTCTACATTGGGGAAAGATGCTCCTGGACGCCGCACCATTTGACGAACAACACATGTGTTATTCAGGAGAAATATGTATTTTCGACCCTTTTCACCTGGGCGTATCAATTCTGCAGCTTGCTTCATCTTAGATCCCCAGAAACCAACCATGTGATGTACTGGCTGCACCAAATACGTGTTACCAAAATAATGCTGCAGGGCTTGTACGAGGAGGTCATTTCCTGGATGAATTGTTGATTCGTCGCTGCTGCCGAAGTCCAGGACTATTTTTTCCCAATCATGCACCATCTTGCTGGGAATCTCAGGTGACCTGTTCAAGAGAAAGGCAGGTCCGTCGCACTGTCAAGTACCATTTCAAATGCCCGCAGAAAAACATTTCAAATAGTAGTAATTGAAGTCGCACAATTGCACTTTTGATTGCGGGGAAATATAACCATTTCGCCGGATTTTGTACTAGAAATTAGCACAATGGCTAAGCAGTACTCATGCCTCAGCTACTGACCCTCGCGGCGACAGGCGGGCAACACGCGGAGGCGAGCACGCTCGGCGAGAGGCGGCCGCCGGCCGCCGCCGCGGCGTGGCAACCGACGGGGCGCAGGCAGCGTGGCGAGAGGTGGTGCGGTGCGGCGAGCCGAGCACACGCGGAGCGGTGGCCTATGTGCTCGGCGCGGCGAGCTGCGATCCAGCGAGGCCGTCGCGGACACGCAGCTATGGCCTGCTGGGCGTGCCGCTGACGGCACCGCGGAGGGCGCCATTGAGCAGCGAGCGCGACACGACGAGCAGCGTGCTGGGCGGCACGGCAGGGCGCGCAGCGGGCCGGCAATTGATGCATTACGCAGCGTGGCGCGTCGAGGGGCGGTGGTACCATGGTAGGCGGGAGCGGGCCGGGCGGCAAGCAGCGCGGCGGCATCACAGGGTGGTAGGCGAACCCGGCGGTCACCTAGAACCCTGACCAGTTTCGACTCTCCCTGGACTCTGCGACAGGGCTGGTTCTAGGCTACTAGGCTCGGCGCGCAGGCCGGGTGCCAGAACAGAGCACGGAGGCGAAAGCACGGGTGCCAAAATGAAACAAAAGGAGGACCGGCCGGGGGTCGGTGCACTCATATACCTGCCGAGGAGCACTTCCATTGTTTCAGCTCCGCCGGCTTGCTTCTCCTCCGCCGTCCTCGCCATCGTCATCTTCTTCCTCGCCGTCGACGGAGTGGCAGCGCGCGAGCGAGAGGGATGGAGCTGCGGACGGAGGCGGCGGCGAGCTTCGAATCTCGTTGGAAGGATTGGCTGATGCTGCTCTGGGGGCGCGCGAGCAAGAGGGATGGAGCTGCAGACCGGCGGCGGGCGTGGAAGGATTGGGCGATGGGATTCGGGGCGCGCCCGAGCGAGAGGCGTGGAGCCGCAAAGGGTAGTACTAGCGGGCTTGGGATCTCGTTGACAGGGTTGGTCGGGGGGGTTGGGGTGCGCGCTTCCGTTTTCTTATACACCACTAGGCTTTAGCGAGCTCAATCACCGGCAGGATGGCGACCCGCTGCTGCTGACCGGAGTTGCCGCAAGTACGACATATTTTTGGTCCGTGGCGCACCCGACGCGCTGGGGGTAGCGCCGGGTTGCTGCACGGCATGCAGGCGAGGCGCACGCTATTGCGTTGCCGGGGTCAAGCTAGCTAAGCCGCGCGCGCCGCGGTTGAGCCTGGACTCAGAGCCGGACCGTGTGGTTGGTTCGCGTCGTCCTCTCATGGCGGAACGGAGTCATATGGGAGTTGACTCGAGGCAGCTCGCTCGCGTTATGTTAGGTGGACCGAGTCGAGGAACAACCAATCATTCACCGCGCTTCCACGCGCACTCGATTCAACAAAAAATTGGCGCGAGTGAGGATTTGGAGACTGAAACGGGGTATTGTTCAAGAACGAGAGCGTTACGGCCGTTTCTTTTTCACTGAAGAAAAAAACGATCCGATCCATTTATAGTGATAGTATGTCATGGCAGTATAAATAACAATACAGATAATAAAAATCACAACCAAGTATGTGAACCACTTGGCGACTACTGTAGGCACTCGAGCAAGACGAAAGCAGCTGAAAGATGATTTTGACCTAGGTGTGGACGACTACAACCGTCGCTGCTGATGATGAGATGCGTATATCGAAAGGGTCATACATGTAAATACATACACAAAAATTATGATCGGTCAAATCCAGATCGATCCATCGAAGTTGAGTGTAGAGTAGATCCAAGTAGATCTACCAAAGACCAACGACTATCGAATCCCCCGAGATCCACCGGAGATACAACACCACATATATTTCATCAGTGCTAGATGCATCGCCAGGACGGGGATGAGACGTGAGAGACACTATTCCAATCAAGGAATGTCACTGATGCCTCGTAGCCCTGAAAAACAACTCAAGCTATCTAAAACAAAAACGAGGTCCTTCCCACCAACAAGGAGCCAGGGTCCTCTGCACCTCAAAGGTCAAAAGGCCATCAGAGGCGAGGCGGACCGGTGGTGATGCCAGCAGGAGGAGAGAAGCCCGAATCACCTGTAGCGTCGCCTCATGGGGAGTAAGGGAATTGTTCATGGCAAAGTCACCTAGTTGTGTCATTACACCCGGTTTCAAATTAACAATAAACCTCAAAAGGAAAGGACACACACAAGGGGTCGTCGGTCACTTACGACGCATTGAAATGATTCCTTCATAAGCCACCTCGTATTTTAGATTTGATTTTAGTTATCAATTTAACCACCAAAAAATATGTTATATAACCAACGAATATACACAATGCACATAAATGTAATAGAAGTGGAATTGCGGCAAAATAAAAGTGCAGTACAAAAAAGTAATCGCAAAAGGAATTAAAAGGTATAATTGCAAAAATAAGTTTTATTGCATGATTAAAAACACAATTACACTGAAAGGTGCAATTGCACAAATTTAACAAGTGCATTTGCATAAACACACACACACACACATACACATATGTATGTATGTGTATATATATATATATATATATATATATATATATATATATATATGACAAATTTTTCCTACTACCGGGTGTAGTTACTCCCACTTTTGTTTCATATGTTCTAGGTAGTATCTATCATATCGGAGAGTATGTACGCGTAGTATGTAGTATATAATAATGTTTAGGTAGTATATATACTACTTTTTGGTAGTATGTATCATATTTTGTGCATACTCTATTTCACGTACAAATATGTACGTATTTCACAAATACAATAAAATCATGAGCTCACTTGCAATTTTTTCATATAACTCACTTTGGAGTATGTTAAATATAGTATATAAACATATTAAAAATAATAAATTAGAGCATATAGTATATAAGAAATGGGTGTAGCTACACCCGGTAGTAGGATGCATTTTCCATATATATATATATCATCATCAAACTGTACATACATGTAGTAAACATACACATATACATGTGATTGTTTGTCAAAAATAAAATAAATTTAAAATACAATTTCTGAAGTTTTCAGGAAAAAAACTTCGTGGAGCATGAGCTCTAAAATGGATTTCTGTCTATGAAGTCTTTTCTGTCGTATTTTCTCACAACTTTTATAATGTTATTTTCAATGTATTTTGGACATGAAAATGACATAAGCACCCTAATGATGGGAGTATCGCACATGATGAGGACATGGTCGAACCATATGAGGCCTAAGGGAGAATGAAACCAATAAACTAAATCATATGTCGGGCCGGATTCTTCTCGGCGACTCTCGCGGCTTGGCGGGGCGGGGTGGGAGCCCTCCTCCTAGGCTCCAGTGGTGGCACACTCAGGCAGTGGCCGGTGCACCAGGGGTCCCACGGTGGCACTGTTGCTGCGGTTAGTCACCGGATCTAGGCGGCTGGATCTGGGGCTTTGAAGGCGGTCGAGATGGTGCACAGGTTGTTGGGTGGATTTCTTGGGACGGATCCGGGTGAAAACCTGATCTTCGGTCGATGGCCGGAGACGGTGATGACGATGCCCTTATCATTGTTTCCTTCATGAAGGCATCATCGAGGTGAAGCTCCCAACTTCACTCAATACCTCTGGGGGAAACCCTAGATCAGCTGATCGGATGTTGGCGGCAATCATGTGTCATAACCCCCTTGGGGGCGGCATTCTTGGAGGTGCACTCGGTTTCGCGGGACCAACGAACGGCTTCTTGGGTGGAGCGGTGCTTCATCCATACATTGATGGCGACGGATCTGGACGGCGTGACGCAGTGCAGATTCGGAGTTTTATGTGGGAGGATGGACTCGCGCAGGAGGACGACGTTGTCTGGCGTCGTGGTGGCGTCGATGGCTGTGAGACCTGGCACGATAGATGCAATAGTAGAGCTCTGAAGATGGACTCGTGGCAGGTGGCTGCGGCGGCCCCATACCCGGCAGGCGTCCTGGTTGAGGAGTGCGCCGGACTGGTAGGTGCCCCATACCGGGCAGGCGTCCTGGTTGGGACCTCCGGTCTTAGATGTTTAGGTTTGGCTGTGATCTCTGTTTGGTATTAGACCCAGACTATCAGCGCCCCTTCATCAACTGGATAGGTGTAGCGACAGTTGTTGCTTAGACGGTGACTTCAGTCTTATTGTTGTATGACTTTTGTTAGGTCTTGTGAGAATAATTAATAAAGTGGCCGCATGCATCGCCCAGATGCAGAGGCCGGGGGTCATCCTCCTTTTCTAAAAAAAATGTCGGGCTGGACCGGGTTTCAAGCCGAGCTTAAAAAGGGTGAATCCTGAACTACAAGCACAAGCCTGACCTGAAGCCGAACCACATTCCTTTTCTCAAGCCCGAGATTAGCGCGAAGCCCAAAGCCCAGCTTGAATGTTATTTTTAATGCAAACATGTAAAGCAGATATGATGCTCCATTTCCCGTCTCGAAAAACAAAAAAACAGGAGTCAAGCCCTCAAAATGAAGCCCAAATCTAGCTCAAGAGGTTAGCTCGACATGCCCCAAATTTTGACGGCCAAGCTCGGGCGGGGCTGCCCATGTTCAGGTTTAGACCCAACCGGACACAATCCGGGTAAGGCCGAACCAACTGGCACCAAGGCGAGAATGTATTATGTGCAATCAATCAATCAGTGTACCGAATGCATCAAGCGATTTTAAGCGAAAACCAAGGGACGAAACTTGGCCTGAAGATGGTTGGCGCATTCACAGCAAAAAGGGTTGAACATTTCATCATAATAAACCCAGCGGTCCACCCCTATAGTCGTCCATTTTGCTATAAGACCTAGCTTTTCGCTGAAATTAACCCAACAATCCACCGTATGGAGCAGCTGTGGAAACTGGACTACAGGTTGGTTTTATTGAATTATAAGGTTCTTTTTGCAAACTACATTTACAATCATGTCTCTTCATCTTGTCCATTGCTTTTCTGTCCAATGGCCCAAAACCATATGGTGCACTGGGTACATAGATTACCCCTTCTTCATAGGATATGTTCTCGGTGCTAAGAGCATCTACATGCGGAATTGGGAAATTCGGCCCCTGACGCGTCCGTCAACAACGTCGGGTGGCCCCTCATTTGGGCTGCCGCACATCCACCCCCGACGCGTCCGTCAACAGCGTCGGGCGGCCCCTCATTTGGGCTGCCGCACATTCACACACCTTAAATCCTTGCAATCCATGCACGTCAATCATATAATACAAATCCTCCCAATTCAACAGTTCGAAACAAATACGACAAAGCAAAACAGACCATTTTTTTGCGGGGGAGCAAAACAGATCATTGTTCAACAACCCGAACATGCCAAAATGAAATCAAAGTCCGAGCGAGACGGATCACTCGACGGACGTCATGCCGCCTGCTCCGTGGCCATCCTTGCCTCCTGCTTCGCCTGCATCCTTGCCGCATGCTCCTCTGCTGCCATAACCGTCCTCGCTGCCTCGTACTCCCTATGCTCGTCGATCTTCTTCGTTTATCTTCGCATACTCCTCGTCCCATGCGATTTGCAACCTCTCTTTCTCAAGTTCAATCTCTCTTAGTAATACTGAAACACGGCGAGTTACGACAGAATCTCTGCCGTAGTCATCGTGCTCCTACTACACGACATGGAACTTCTTTTGTCTCTTCTTTTAGAGATTAACAAGCAGTAGTAATACTGAATATTCATTGTTAACCTAGGCTCATCTGCTCTTAGTAAACAGTAAATTCCAAAAAAAATACTAAAA